TCGACTCGGTTGCCTCAGAATCCTAGTTATAGCCTGATTTGCTGCCCTATGACGTATACTTATTAGTTAAACCATGCATATATATGCTGGTAGCTGCAGTGGTACAGGCCGATACAGACTCGCCGACTGGAACTTCTCCAGGTTCCCCGCTAAATATGTCCTCTCCAGTTACACATCCTTACTGAAGAGGCCCTGAACCAAATGTTATACCTCATAGCAATATGTCATATTAAAAGCAATGCATGAAGCTAGAAAACTCAACGTTAACTATAATTAAAGAATCTAAATAGTATAAGCTATTGAAAAAAATGTTGCGAAAGAGAGTGGAAAAAAAAATCGTACATTGTGATGGGTAGAAAAAAATATCTTGCACATAATGATCCCAGAAAACAAATTCCCTGCCAGCAGTAAATCACACAACCCCCCCCCCCCCTCAAAAGTTAAATGGTCGGCCCCTTATCTCGTGATTGACATTGTCATTGGTGACATTTTTACAAAATCATATGATTCATTGTAATCAGTAACAAGATAAAATTTATTCATTATAAGCCTAAGGCTAAGCCTTAATGATCGTAAGCAGTCCGAAATGTCAAGGACAGCAAACTTTAAGGTCCATCATCAAAAAATTATAGGACCACCAAAATAAAACTAACGTCAAAAATCTTTTCTATACGAGCTACCCCGATATATGCAAACCTACATGCACTTTCCTCTGCAGAGGCTTTTTAATACATAAATTTAAAAACTCATTAATAATTCATGAGAAAAATACATATGAAATGAATGTTTAATCAATGTTTGTAAATCGGATAAAGATTTGTCCTGATTTACATAAACTTCGGCTTTGATTTTCTCGGCTTAGACAATGTTTATTTTTAAAATTACTTCGCCAATGAACTCATAAGATGGGTCGTTTTTTAAGCACGTTATTTGGCTCGAGTTTGTCAGATAAAGATCGGCTGCATGCTCATGTTTTAACCAGTACTTAAAAGCTTGAATCAAGTTTTTGGCGAACTTTTTTATTACTAGTCTTACACGGCGTTTTGCTCGGCACGAGATCCTCGTTTTCCTCTTTCCCGTCTTTTGCCGTCTTGCGGCAATTCGTGTAAAGCCCGTTTTCCACTATAGGCGAATTTGTTCGCGCAAAGCGAAAAACAAAACTTTGCAATGTGATTGGTCAGCGAAAAAATTCGCCGCGAAAAAGTTGAATTAGTTCCTATACTTTTTTACTGTTCGCGCGAACAAATTCGCATAGTGGAAAACAGGCTTACCACTAATAAAAATTCCATTTAAGCGTCTAATAAACTAGCCTGCGCCCTGAACAGTTAGTTAAAGGCACACAGTCACCTTTTCAGCGATGTTATTTAATGGCACGAAGCTTCAAATAGTTCGTAAATATAGATCAAACATGAGATAGTTGATAACTTGATATATAGATTAAATATGGGCCATGACGGTGAAATAGGGACTCTTGTTAATTTTAAACCTAATTTTAACATCAGTATGTTTCTCAATTTTATTATTACATTTACGGCAATACCTATAAACGTAAGAACTGCCATCTTCGGATATATGGCAACGAAATATTTTCGTGACGGGAATCTTAGGCCCAATACAGTAATATTTTAAATTAGTATTTTTGCACAAGTGAACATAACAAATCCTACAAGGTGATTGGTCAAATTTGACGTATTAATCTGTTATGTTCACCTACATGTGAATTAATATAACAAAATCGAAATTTTCAAAATGGCGGCTAGCCCGATAATCACCTCGCCTTCGCCTTCAGCGAATAATTGTTAAATAGTATACGCGCGTATTACTGAATATATTATATACATGTATTATATATGTAATGCACGATGCATATTGATTTTGGCTAAACGGGATGCGTGTAATCATGTATAACCCTGCTCGAGACCCCGCTAATCCAATATACAAGCACAAAACGGAAATATCTCGGCTTGTGTTTGCGGATACAAGAAACTAATACAAAACTAACAGCTGCCGAAGTCCAATCATTGCTGCGGAGCGAGCGAGCCTGAAGCGAGCGAGCGTAGCAGCAACCTAATATATGCAGAGAGGGGGTTTTGAACTAAATTTTATTTAGCGCATGGAATTGTGGTCGTGCGCGATTTCTATGCGCAGAACACACATTTTAAACTCGCTCGAGTCTTTGATTTTTTTCGAATTTCTAAAGCTTTTTCATGTCTAATGTTACGCTTACATTTGTATTGGACTTTGGCCACTGTCAGTTCTATATTTTTATAAAGTTTTGGTTTCTTAGTGTGATAAATCTGTGTATATAGTCTATATAATGTGCCAAAATGCGCCTAGCAGTAAACAGACTTGATATGAAATCTGATCTTGATTTACCTGTATGTCAATCAACCTCGTACCCAGGGCTTCTGCGCTTATTGTCAATGAGACGCTGACTCGTCCCCAGTCGTCTCTGTGAGCACGTGCGATGAGACGCACATGTTTAATATCTGTCACCTCAATCTCGTACCCAGAGCAATGCCGCGCCGGCTAGGAAAGCATTGGCTCTGGGGAAATTGACAACCGGAACCCCTAAATTTAGGGGTTCCGGTTCTTTGTCGGCATGCACGATTGATAAACGTTAAACCAATCACAGCACAGGAAAAATTCAATTTCCCCAGAGCCAATGTCATCCTAGCCCGCGTACAGGCATTGCTCTGGGTACGAGATTGCTGTCACCTCTGATTGCCTTTAACCCCTGGTTTTGCTACTTCAATATATATTGCTTCTTCTCAGTTCCATTCACAGCTCACTAGTCGCTGCGAGTAATCACTGTGCTTGATATAATCTGTGCTGTTTACTGTAGTTCTATTTGCTTTTAATGCCCGCAGCAATCCCTACCTTGCAGGTACCCTAGTATAGTTCATATGTATATCACGGGACGGATATAAAAACATTGAGGAACTTATGTGCATGAAAGAGCCATTGGCATTGACATCACTGGACATATCGTCGATCATTCTATGAAAATCTAGAACCAGTTAAAATATCTACTAAGAAGTAAGTATATAATATTCTTTTAACTTGTAATTGAAGGATCGGAAAATTTGATTTTCTGACTGAAATTTTGACAATATTGGTGACATTAATTTTCTATAAATTAATTATACCAGTCCAACATATAGTAAAACACTAAAACGTCTGATCTGAGGTTAAGAAAATTCACCCAATGTATTCTAAAAACACTTCAAATTATGTAGGACATGTCACATGCATGACCTTTAAACGTCTGGTACAACGTTGAACTGTGACGTATACGTCTAGTTGCAGGGGCGAAACCAAAAATCATCTTCAAATGATTCCTTCTAAGTTAGCATGCACGTATATATAGAGAGCGGTCACTCAAACATACACAAAAAGAAGACATGTTCAATATTTTGAATAACAAAAAATGATTGAATCCGCACTAACTAACCGCCATTAGATATTTATAGAGGCGGGAAATTTGTCTGAGACGAAAATCCTCTTATAAACGGGAAAAGCCTAAATCTTTCTCATGTAAAAATTTTATTCGGCAATTTTTCTGTTCATGCAAACAAACGGCAAATAAAGTTGTTTTCCCTGTCCCTGTTCACCTCGCGCGTTTCATACTATATACGTCCTAACATAAAAGCCTGTTTTTCATTCTAAATATTCAGTTCTTGGTTTTGGAAGCACTATATACTACTACTTGACTCAGGTGAGCAAATAACATGGACACAAAAGAAAATTACGCTACTACATGGTTCGTTATACAGTTGAAGATGAAAACAAACATAATAATACTTCTGGAGCAACCACACGAATAAATGTGCAGACTTTAATAATGCTCTTTACGTTGTCGAAGTAATAAAAAACATAATTCATAAATTTGGAATGCCGCGACCTTTGTGAATATGGCTAGGAGCAAACCGTGCACCTATTAATTAATGAACTTGATCTTGAAACGTTATCCAGTTTGACGCTATACTAGATCCCAAAGTTTTAGATTTCATCGACGAAACTGCTCCCGCAGTTTGACATGCACATGCAAGCTAGTCCCACAATTGTAGATGGGTTTTGTAGAGTTTTGAGTACGAATTATTTATGTCAGTGGCCTCAAACACCCAATTTTTTTAGGTACAAGCATGAATTTTTCAACTTTCTTTTGATATCAAACAAATAGATAACATTTAACCGTGGTATAGTTATATAGATACAATCATACAAAGGACGCCATAAGGCCACATAAAAAAAAATAGTTGGTTAGCGTCCCCGCCCGCCCACAAAAAAGGCCCCGCTCAGGATTTTTTTTTATTTTTTATTTAAAAAAAACCCGACTTTTATTGATCAACGGGCTCTAATATATGTAGTATTTCTGTTGACTGTAGTCAATTGTGTTAATAATTTGCGAAATTGCGTGCGAAAATGACGGTATGAATTATATTTTGAAATATATAAAAAATATCTGTACTGCGCAAGAAAATCCAGTTTCGGACCTAACAGTGAGTAAAACCAAGGCGTTAAAAATTAGTAAAAATTAAAAAAAAGCGCCCGCCCGCCCACTTTTTGGCAAAAGCCAAGGACGCTAACCAACTATTTTTTTTATATGGCCTAACGTAGTTAGAAATGTGGTTCGTCCACGTTACAACGTCATTGCATGTATCTATAACTGACGGACGAAAGCAAACTATGAGACAACTATTTGAAAGCCATTGTTGAGGTTTTTCTGAGATATACAATCGAAAGATCAAAATCAAATACGTACGTACGCATAATCACAAGATTGGAGTGCGTGCATGCAGGGCTTGAACTAAGGTCCGCAAAGTTCTTGATCATGGTAATCGGCATGCATGCAGTCATGACTTTCCCCGCTTTTCCTGGTTGAAAACCCTGTTTTCCGTCAATCATCAATGATCTTGTCGATCATTGATCCCGCGCAAATGGTTGATCGCGGTGCATAATCGGCTGTTATTTCAAGTGAGCTGGCCGGTGCGCGTCATCTTGCGGTTGACATTCCAAAAGAACGTATAAATAAGGGCTGTGCTTGTGGCTGTGCCTGATAATGTGTTGCAAGACGGTTTTCACCTCCCGTACTTTTCAAGAATTAAGCTTCGCGCAGTGGTAACCACCTCTACACTCTTATACAGAGAGAAATTAACTCGAGAACACAAATCGGTATGAACTACAAAAATCTCAATCTAAACAAAACTCATATGAAAGTATACATATTTGCATGACATTGCCTTTATTTATTTTACTAGGGCCATGAAATCAGTTATTCTATACACGTTACTCGTTGCATTTTTAATGGCAACGCAAGTTCAGGCATTTTCTTGGGACAAATGGGCAAAGGGAAGGAACTGGGGAAGAAGCCCAAATGTAAACTATCCGGCCACAGGAATCAAAGATGATTATAAAAAGTGGAAACAAGCGAAAGGTAAGATAGCATAACCTGACAACCATTTTCCGTTTATAAACCGCATTGTAGTGTACAGGTATATTTGTAAACACTCTTTTTAGGCCACCACCAGCTAGTAGCAAGATTCCCGTTTCTGATCAACTTTGATTTGATTGAGTGAAGGACGAAAGTTAAAGTGCATAAGAATTGCGCGATTGTTTTATGTTCATTGAGCTTTAATTATTCATTGAAGAGTATCCATCAACGTATACACAGTGGCGTAGCGCTCATTGGTTAGGGTTAGTTCAAAAACTAAGGGCCCCCAACAGTTAGGGGCCCCCATCAGCCACAGAGTCTATCGCCCAGAAAATTGGAAAACGTAAAAAATGCAGGTGAAGAATCAATGGGAAAATGCGAAATTAATATAGTGCTACATAATAAAGCCTCCATCGACGACGGTAGCTGATTTTTTATGCCATCTCAAATTAAACAAAAGTTATTCATAAAAGTTGTTACATATGTTGTTATTGTTATTGTTACTGTTATTGTTATTGTTATTGTTATAGACACGGAATTTTCCAGAACATTCTATAAATATTCAATATAAATATAATATCTCAGTCAAACAATGACAACAGGGGCCCCCACACAGAATATGCATGCCTATAAGGGCCCCCTCTTCCTCCGTTACGCCACTGCGTATACACTGATAAATAGAGAAAATACAGGACCAAGAGCTGGGCCTTGTGGGAGAACAATACTCAGCCTCAGGTCGAGAATGGAAGAGGAAGGGCCATTAATGTGTTCAAACTGACTTCGAGAATCGTGATGATATGGCGAATCGTTTTGGAATTGCATGGTGGAACTGTTCTATACAATAGCATTGCTAATGGATCAAATGCAGCAGACAAATCAAGTAAAACAAAGATGACGGATTCCTTCTTATCCAAAATGTCATTCTGCTGCCTCAATAAAGTTTTCTCCATACTATGGAATGCCTTGTACGCTGATTGGAAAACGTGCAAAATCGTTTTCAACAATTGGCATTAGCTAAGTTGAACAAACACTGTTTTTTCTGATCGGCTTCTAAAAAACGTGCATGGGATTGGAAACAGGACGGAAATTGATCCATGGCAATTGAAGGTGCATCAAGAAGACTTTTTCCTTGCACTATTTCAACCTGACATTTTTGTATCTTATAGTAAAATCGTGTAAGAGTGCAAGGCTTTGTTCATCAGCTGCTGCTTTTAGATATCTTTGATCTATGTTTTTCTGTTTCTCTACATGTCACTTATTTAATTATAATATACTTGCTTAGATTCATAGATCAGATTGTTGACCGCTTGATACTGATTCACGAAAGATGTCCTATCGATCAAAAGTTTATACACCGCCACTCCCACTCGCAATAAACAGAAATATGGAGTTTTTGTCTGTCGAGGTTGTGCCGCGGTATCGCGCATTCATTATTGTCGAGTTTTAATTAATCTCCGTTGCAGGCTTAAGAGTTAAGAATTTATGATCATTGTGGAGTTTTAATTAATCTCCGTTGCAGGCTTAAGAGTTACGACTTTATGATCTTCAATTTATACACCGTCATATCAGTGCTTGTTCCAACAAAGCAAACAACTTATTATTTATAGCAAAGCAAATTAATTAGACATATGACTTATTAGTATAATTATTTTAATTATTTTCAGAAAATATTTTTCATGGACGAGAAGACAGAACTGGTCGACTAAAAAGAAGCTTACTTCGAAGAATCACAAAGGGCGAACATGTGATGATGTAATCATAGATCATGCCTCACTTCTTGTCTTGTGAAATTATTTTATTGTAAAGTAATGAAAAACATAATGTTAATTTGATGCTAAATAAATATATATTGTTCGATTGCTGGAATTCTAGATCCTTCGATTCATTTCCTGAATCTTATCAATCAGGTCTTATATTTTCTACCTACCCTGCATGCACATATGGATTGCCTTAAATATTCATGTCTTTCATTCATTTATCCACATCCATATCTACCACATATCTATCCATACTTTTCTGATAAAGTTTCAAATAATTAAAATGGTTGCTTTTCATAAGGCCGTGTAGAAATTTAAGCTAAGCATGCAGTAGAACAACAATTTACTAAATTATAGTAAATATCATGCATAAACAGGACATTATTACATTTATAATATTCCATAAAAAAACGACAAAAACGTATATACACTCTAAGTAACAATTTATTGAAAAAGATGTTTTATAGCAGTCACTGGCAACTTGAAAAATTGTTCAAAAATGAATTATTTTCGCGAATGAAATCTTGTAATTTATTTTTGAAAACTCTCTCAGTCTCAGAGATCGTGAGATTTTTCAATTCAGTTGGCATATTATTCCAAGTTTTTGCACCATGGTAGCTAAAATTTCGCTTCAGTGCATTTGTTCTTGGAAAAGCCAGTTTCAGCATGGTAAAATTACTGCGAGTCTGCGTAGATTAATTATATTGATCGTTTACTGAAATGTGAAACTGGTCTGATATTGATGTAGGAACTTCATTTTTTAGAATTTTGCGCATAAACAAGAACGTCTTAAACAATCTTATCTGGTTTAGTGGTTGCCAATTCAGTTTGCTAAGTACATCTTTTGAACGAATCTCCCAATTATCTCAGTTATAACTCTTGCTGCCCTATTTTGAAGCTTTTGAAAGTTTCAATTGCAACTCTAGTTTACAATTTTGCCATCTTAGAGTCCTTACGATGTATAGTCAACAACATGACGACGTAATATAATGAAAGTCAAAATAATTAAGAAAAGAAACAAATAATTAAAATCCCATGGTGGTTTAAGCCTCTTTTCCATTCATCGCAAGATATACCTCATGACAAGCTCACCGAACCGCAGCACACTATTCTCGACGGTGCCAGTCTCCTTACTGCGGCCGAGTTTAGTAGACTTGAATTTCGTTTTTTTGTGTTTGCATGTCAGCAATTCAGGGGGGTTATGAAAATTAATTATGCTTGCCGGGCGCACAGGAAGCGGTTAAAGGAAGATGCACATGCGTTCCTTTCATATACGACAATGAAATGAAATATTTAACTCGAATTGAGGAAATGTTAATTAAGCGTGGAACGAGGTTATACTAAGTCTAAGGGCATATGGCTAACGTGAGCATTCAAATTCTAAGTGCATACAATGCTGATATTCCCTGTTTATTTAGACATTCTTGTTTTGTTCCCTTATATATATACATTAAAGAAACAGATATCTTTGGGTCTTGTACTCCTTTAACTGTTTAATATACTGTATGTTTTGTTAATATGTGTGTCTTGTTGATATTTTGATCGTGGACATGGTGTATTGAGAGTCCATATTAATTAAAGTGATTTTAATCTGTTTCTGTTTCTGATCTGTTTCGCTGTGGATTAAGTTGTTTTCTCGCTAACATGTGCCAATCGAGGCAGCAATTTCCTTGCGACAGTAACTCCTAGTTTTAATTGGATGCAAGTATAAGTGACATAAGTCGCAGCAAGCTTGCGAGTTGGTTTCTGCGATGTGTGGAAAAGAACCTTTAGATCTAGATCTCGTCCTAATTCTTTTTTTCAATGCCAATGGTAAACCATAAATTTTTACGTCTTGTATACGACGCATGTATTTCAAGCTGTGAGAAGTAGTACTTAGCAAAATGGCTCAGTACACTGAAGTATAGTAGAACACTTCCGAGCAAAAGCACATGCTTTAACCACCTCAAACTGTATTTAATTCATAATATTGACAATACACGAGAGGTTTTCTTTGCAATCATTTATTGGAACGAGTTTTTGCCGTCGTCACCGCTTGCTCTCCCATGTTGATCTTTATATCTTTTATGAACTGACTAAAAAATCAGCCCCCTTGCTGGGGCTGGCTCGCGTCTGTTTTTGTAAGCGATGTTTTTGTCAACACGCGGACGTCAGCCGCAAAGTAAGGAAACTAAAAAATCTTGTGTTTTGTCATATGTGTTGAAGATTACCACAAACTGATACAAACACAGTTTTTAATCCAGTCCCCCTCGGCAATCTCACGTCCGTGTTGACAAAAACGTAGCTCGCTAATAAATATATGAAATTCCCAGCCCTACTAGTTGACCTGCATCTAAGACGAAAGCGGACTTACAGCCTCATTAATTATTAGAGACCTTTAGCTAGCAGGACGGCGACGGCTATTAACACAATGAAATTTATGACAGTGTAGAAAGAAAATGCATAATTAAAGGTCCCTTGGGAGTTTTAGACGTCGTCCTTGCTCTGTTTACAACAGCAAAACAAAGATTTTCACGTTTTGTATACAACGTCTGCCTTTCAAACCGCGAGAAGTCGTCCTCGCCAAATTGGCCTAGTATAGAAGTCTTCTCAACTATAAACCTCTGTCTTAACCTTCTAAATTACAATACATTCATACAACGGATCATACAAGACATGTTAATCTTAAAGTTACTTATTTGAACGAGATTGTTTTGGCCGTCGTCGTCGCGTTGCCGTCACGTAGGCATAAGCAAAATCGTTGATTCGGCCTACTGGTTGCCGCTACTTGAACGTGCATGCTTATGCAAAATACTTGGTTGTTATTGGTTGTGACTGAACGGACTAAATCCTGAATAAATTGAATGTCGATAGCCTACTGTACATGCACGTCTTTTGTGCATATCCGCGATGTTAATGCGGGTCTTTCAAACTTATAGCTCATCGATCGATCGTAGTGAATAGTTATACTGATGGATAGATTTATTACTTAAAAGTCTCGCAGCCTAGGCCTTGCACGTCGGCTGAATAATGTTAAGTTGTACAAGTGTTTAAAAGTCAGGACTAACTGTATTAAAAATAGGTACGCTAAGCGTACACGTATCTCAATCAATATTCAGTAGCATGTAAAAATATTAAGAGACTGATGTTTAAATGAATATATTTTTTCTATGAACATTACAAATATCTATTATAAACAGTTGACTAGTTAAATGATCGAGGTTAGATTTATACAGGGTCCGTACATGTGAAGAAGAGTGAAATTCAAGGCCATGAATCAGCAAATTCAAGGATTAAATACTGAAGAAAAGGGGTTAGAAATCAGTAAAATCTGACGTTGGATTGTTCAAAATGCAACTTTAATTATGCAACTTCCAAACAGCTTTGTCAGACAGCCTTTTTATACATTTTTTATTTTTTGGTGTCAAAAAACATACATATGCATTATATTATTCCACATTTTGAGCAAAATTTGTAGTCTTTGGCACCAGAACAGCCACACACTGAGCAAAACATTTTGGTAAATGTCCTTTGACAGTTTGACTCTCAAACCATAGATATAGGAGACCTAGATTGCTGACTCGGCTCAACCGACGTGGCATATTTTGAAAATCCAAGATGGCGGCTCAACCGGGCAAAAATCACAGAGAAAGATAGGGAAAAACCATGTTTTTTGCATTTTGCGTCGTCCTAAAGCTTCCGATCGCGTTCTATCACTTTATTTTGGAAAGAACTAACTAGTGTGAAGGTTTTGGATGAAAATTTGTACAATCAGTACAATTTTATACCATGGTTAATACAAATTACGATTCAACCGGGCAAGATTGGGGAGGCCTGCAGTTTCGCGCGGTTTTCGTCTTTAGTTTCTTCCTGTGTATTCCTTCAGTCTTTTACGAGTTTTTCTCAAGTAATATTATATATTTCTAACTATTCCAAAAGCTATTACTGTTTATTTTGTTCTTTCATTGTTATTTCGACCAAAATACAGTCTTTTCATCTGAAAATTCTAGGGCTTCTATTCCATCTGGGGTTTTTTTATCGAAAAGAATGCTTGAAAGTCGGCCAGAATCGTGTTCAGTGTATTACTACAAGACAGACGTGGGATGTTATTCGATTTTCCTTCCATAAGTAAGTCTATGAAACACACACACATCACATATTTGTACACTCTATGAAACACACACACATCACATATTTGTACACTATAAGTCTATAACTTACATCATATAAACAGTATAATAATAGAATAAAAAGAATTTGTTTTGTAAATACTGTAATGACAACGTCACAACAAATGTAGTTTTGAGTTTGGCAGCTACAATATAAAACTATTTACAGTTCTAATAAAAGAATATTAGACCAAAAAAGAACTTCTTGTTTTGATGTCTGTGTTAGGAGAGTCTCTCTCTATATATGCATGTTGACAACAACTTTCCTTGTCCTGTTCAAAGTCAAAAATGTTTTAGTTTTGTTAACATCAGTGAACCAAAAATACATCTTTCCCTTTGCACTATTGGATTTCCTATAACCAATCCCAGCCTGCTAAAAAATGAAATGGGCAGACTCAATGCCAATCAAATATTCATTCTTGTGTGAGAAACACTTCACACCGGATGATTATACTTCACACCCGATGATTATATTAATCCATGGTGTTGCAAGGTGCCCTACTTTATTATTTTACTCTGTCTAATGCCAGACAATTTTACTCATCAAGACGAGAGCAGTGGCACTTAATGGGTTAACTTAGCCTACCTGCAAATGTGTATAGTTAACCCATTGAGTCGTTTTGTGCCCTACTTAATTATTTTACTCTAGCTACGCCAGACAATTCTACTCGTAAGGGGAGAGTGCTGATGCTTGGGTCAGCTGTCTCAAGGGGAGAGTGTCCGAAGGGAAGAATGCCGACTGCAGAGAGCAATCAATAAAATGCCAATCCAAGAAATATCTAAACGAAGATGCCGTCCCATCTATTTTTGATTATCAATGATGAACCAATCAGGTTTCTTGGAGAGAACTAGATACTAACTGTGAAGGTTTTTGATGCATACCAGACACATTAGGCAGTTTCTTCAAACTAGTTTCCATTGAAAACTTTCTTTGTCACTAGTTCTCTCTACAAACCTGATTGATTCATCACTTTTCACTGTCCAGGCCCTATAGACTTGAGATCCCTTGACATCTGCAGCAGCAAGGAGGTTGTCAAAGTCACACTAAACAGAGCATCAGAATTTTCGCACCAGCAGACCAAATAAATCAAGTAAAATAGGCTTTAACTTCAAAATACTTCACAGAATTATTCCTTGTTAAATATCCCAACCGAGATCCTCGAGAAAAAAAGCACCCAAAGAACCAAAACCTTTATTTTCTGCAACAAAATGTCTCGAACTGCTCAACCGACCATTGTGACGATTTCAGAAAACATTGGGCCATTCCATTTATTAAGCGCACCCCCCCTATTGAGGGTTTTCAAAAAATACCCCCTGGATATTGCTTTAGTAATAGGGTATGTGGATTTCTCATTTTAACATTTCCCGTGGATTTTCTAAACCTTTGTTAACCTATTGAGGGTAACATAATTTCTGCCCCTGGATTTTTGGATTTTGTTAAAATGGAAATGTTGGCGAAGGGGGGGGGGGGGGTCTCAAAAATTTTTTCGGACATACTGAAAAAAATTTTCCGCACACATCACATTTTTTCCTAAATATGAAAAAATTTATCCGGATATACCAAAATTTTTCCGGATATATCATATTTTTCCTACCCTGGATTCCAGAGCCTTCGACAGTAAATAATAAATTGAAATGTCGCGAAGGCTCTGGTTCAACGGGGCGATTCTTTGACTAAGCCGCGCCAATCACAAAACAGAATTAGTGGTTTTAGTACAACCGTTGAACCAAAGCCTTCGCGACATTTCAATTTATTATTTACTGTCGAAGGCTCTGGAATCCAGGGTATATTTTTCCCGGAGATGATAAAAAATTTCCGCAAAATATCATAAATTCAAGGTTTCAAAAGTGCCCTTTGGGCAAACAAACAAAGGCAATCCTTAAGACATTTTTAACGCAATTGTTAATTGTTATTTTCACAGATTATTTTATAGTCATTTAAAAAACAGTGCAATATAAAAGATACTGAAAAATCGATGTTATAACTTTTTGAATTTTTATCAAAATAGGCTAAAACCTTTAAATAGGATAGAACTCATTATCCTAATAATATGTATCATTAATTTGTATGAACTTTTCATGAAATTGTTATTTGTTACATTCAGAATTGATCAGAGGTCGAAAAACTTCAGTTTTAGTGTTCCAATGGCATATGCTCATTAATAGTAATTAGTAGGTACATCAGAATATCAATACCAGTTTTTCAAAATTTTTGTTCCTACTTTGTCATGCAATTTTGGAATTTCCCAACCAATTGCCAATAATCTAACAGTTTAAAAAACACTTTTTAAGAATAATGAAAGGTTTCTGCCTACATGCATTTGAATAAAAACTTAAAAAGTTATATTGTGTCAAGCTTTAAGGTAAAAGTCTTTGGTAACTATCTGTTATAAATTGATAATTTTATCCCAAGTGGTTATCTGTTCCATAGACTGACGATAAAAGCAGCTTAAAAAATGGCATTGACCATTTGCAAACTTCCATTTGCCACCCCAAAAGTCACATCGTAGCAATAAGTCACATCAGGCTCTGAGTAAAACATTACTTCTATTTCATCAGAATCCAGATCGGATGTCTGTACTTCTCCAACGTACCATCCAGGTCTCCAATGCGAATCACCAATTTCGTCCTTGGTCCATTTTACCTTCACTTGGCTCCCAATTTCAAAGAATTGCTCCAATTCTGACCCATTGTGTAACATAAGATGCCCTTCATTTAACAGTTGTGAAACGTTCATTTCATACAAACATTTCGGTTCTACAACGTAAGTTATATTTGCCATGGTTTCCTCAAAGTCAAGGACTTCTTTCACTATCGCTAGATACCAACCTTCATGCCACCCTGTATCCTTGCAGTCGTCTTTGCCCCAAAATATCTTAACCCTTGCTCCACGTTTTAGAATATTCTTGAGCGGTTCGCCAGCATTCGTGCAAGATTTCATTGCAACGATTGTGTTAGGCAACTTAAGATTTAATTCTTTGTTGTTTTCGATCATAACGTACTCTGTAAGGTCTTCAAAGACGTCTTCGATGTTATCCATTGTGATCTCTTTTGGTACAGATATCTTTGAGGTGGATGAATGAACAGACTGAACTGCTGCAGACTGACGTGGACGACTAGATGACAAGCATGGATTGGTAGGCGTTGAAAATGTTCTGTATCTGTAAATTGGTTTGTTCTTCAACTTAAGTCTTTGCAACTTTTCTTCATTTATAAGTTTTTTTGCGATGGAAATAAGTTCCAGAAGCAGTTTACGCTCTCGTCGAAAACAAAGACGTTTTTTACCATTTGCCAGCAATGAAACATTTAACAGAATTCTGTCTTTATTTCCGATTGTTGGCAAACCATGCCAATGCAATACAGATTTTAAATAACTGAGCTGCAACTTGCCTAATTCCTTCGTCGTCTTGGGGAGATCTTCTCCCATGTACGGTTTTACTTGTTCAGGCGGATTTTCCCCTTCACTCCGAGAAATTCGTTCCACAAGTTCATGTTTTTTGCCAGAAATTTCTAAGTTCCTTTCCTTGCATAGTTTTATCAGGTCTTCCTTTTTTCTGGAGAAATGAACATGTTCTCTCCACTGGTCCCGTCTTTTGTTGTCATCCATATCTTTTTTCATTTCTTTTGTTTTTTCAGTGAAATACTTTGATACTTCCTCTTCAGTTGTCCACGATAACAATGCTAGGCTGCGAATAATGTCTGAGGAAGGCTCAGAAACAACAAGATAGGCTAAGTCTAAAACGTGACTGGGTAAAAAGCATCCTTCAACAGAGTCCCAAACGCCCTTTTCAAGGTTAGTTCGTTGTTCGAAAGGAAGATAATGTAATTCTTTTGTTTCCAACCATCTTACATAATCAGGTAAGGGCTGACGATGAAATCGCTCCACGTTTGAACCTTCCCACTTTTCGTCCTTCCGATAGATTATTGTGGTATACTTGTCACGCCAAGACCTTCTTAGAATAGCGTTTTCGTTTTTAATCACTTTGTAATCTTCAGACAATAGCCCATGGAAGTCCTTGTTAACTCCCCAAACATCGTGCAAAGATTGTAAAAGGGACCCATCACGTACCGAATAATTTTTCTCACATAATTCTTTGTTTGCTTCAGACAAATTTAAGAACTCTTGGACAGAAGCTTCGTCATCAAAAACCCACTGATCTCGATGAAGGCCTCTAAAGACTGATATATACTTTCCACCAAACGTCACATCCTTTAAACAATCTATAACTCTTTGTGCCATATCTTCGATGTTTTCTTTATGCTCATTTCCCCCCGGGCCGGTTGTATCTGGATGGATTAAATGGCTGCAAAATGGCCCGTGATCGGAAAGGGCCTTATTTACTTGAGGGTGTACCCTTTCTACAAAGTTCCTTTTGCTATTATATTCAGCAAACGAAGTTTGAATTACACGGTCCAGACTGAGAAAATTACATAATCTGACTAAAGACATTTGAACTAAAGTACTTGCGGGTTGTTCGGATGCACCGTTATCCACGACAAATAAAAAGTTATTTTTAAGTTTTCCCGTGTTAGGATTTCTAAAGTATTCGTCAAAACACGGTTGGGTCATTAAAAAAAGTATTTCATTCAATTGTCGATAAACAGTTTCTGGTTCGTAGTGGGAGAGGTAGACAAGGTTTACTCCTTTTCCAGATCGAGTGACAGAAAGTCCTGATGATGGCGATGTTAAAGGCAAGTTTAGTTTCTCCGGATATAGCGTTTCTAAGAATAGATGGGCCATTGGGGACACTGCATTTTTTCGACCTTGCTCCCAGTCATGATCAGGCAGAATTGCATCCCTTTGTCGCCATGTTTTCATCGGCTTTTGAACAGGTGCAATATCTCCGTGAACTACGCTTTTTGCATCCTTGGAGTCAATGAAGAAGCCGTTAGATTGTTCAGCAGCAAGGTCAACAAGATAGTTAACATTTGACGAGGACCAGTGAATGTTTATCACGAATTTTGCGACACCGATTCTTGGCGGTTGGTGGAGAGAAATGCATGCATTGATTCCTCTCCCATCGTGGTGTCGTTTCGCCTGTAAAGTATTTTGTTTATAGTTTTGAGTGTAGTTATAACACGCAGACAGAGAAATATTGAAGTCTGGATCAGACAATGAAATCACAAGTTCCCTCGCCTTCTTCATGTTCATACTGCTATCTGTTGTCCTATACAAAGTATCAATTAGGAGTCGGGGGTGACTTTGAATTCCTCCTTGCATAAATGCGTACTCCAACAAAGGAACAAGTTGCGGATTCTCCTCGCATTTAAGCTTTCTGCCCTGACCAGGTTTGGTGTGTAATATTTCCTTTTGCTTCCGCTTGCTAATGATCCTTTGTGTGAGAGCCATTTGTTGTCTGTTTGTCATGTCGTTTCTTACGGTTTGTGAAGTGACTTTGATATCACGAAAGCTATTAAGATTCGGAAAGAAATTATCGCGACATTTTTGCACTCTTTGTTTGTTACCAACACCAAGTAGTGATTTCGATACAAAGTTCACACTTGTTACCCTTTCAAATAAAGCTACGGCTGTATCACGGTCTCGTTTGTTATCCATATACTTTATAGCGTCTTGGAAATCCTTCCCAATCGCATTTTCAATTTTACTGTTGACGTTTTTTGTATTATCAATTGATGCGGTAATGAAAGAGAGAAGTGATGAAAAGTCGCAACTGGTGTTCTCTGCTATAAATGCCGTTCCTTTGATTTGAAATTGCATGATATTTAAATGTTTCGAAAGGATGTGAAACAATTCCGATGACATTATTCGACGGTTGCTCGAAGAGTTTGATTCCTTTTTATACAGTTTCGCCAGTTCTTGTGTTGGTACGACTGGACCATGTTTCAGCAAGTAGCTAGCAACTGTACGCGTCGCATTCAGATAATTTTTCTGGTGTGGTTTGCAGGACATCATTTTTCTTTTTAAGATTTCTAGGTTATCTTGCAAATTCCCTCTAACTTCGCTGCGACGAAATTGGTGTCCACCTTCTTGATTAAGGGCGACAGTTTTTCTTTTTGAATTTTTATAATACAGTTTTCCCTGTTGGTTGTAAAATTCCCGCCTCGCGCCACTGAGTGGTAAAACTGTCGAAAACATTGGGATTTTTGGTTGTGAATGCGGTAGATTGTGTGGTTGGTCGGTATCATCATTAGTGCTGCAGTGAGGTTTGCTTCCTGGCAAATCAGTATCACGGGAACAAGCATTGTCCTTTTGGTTTGTGAACACTTCATTTGAATTCGTCACGTTTCTTGTAATTGAAATTGTTGGTACATGTAAGTGATGAGACAAAGCCGACGATGTATTATTTGGCTCTTTTGTGCTGGAAGGCGCTTTGTATTTCCAGGGATTTTGTGGTGATTGTGTATCATCAAAAAGACTCGGTTTTTCTGTTGGTTTTGTTGTTTTTGGTGTTTGAAGAGAACTTGTAGAAAGCAACCTCGTATTTGTTGTTGGTGTTGAATTGTCCAATCGATGGGATCCAGGCGAGCAATTGTTATTTGGTTGTTTGGTCTTGAAAGGCACTTCCTTCTCCATTGCTGTCGATGTTGAAGTACTGCTTCTTTTTGATTGTAAATCATCAATTAAAGTAACACCAATTTTATTTTTAGGTTTGGTTGTTGTTTTCGGTGTTGGAGATATTTTAGGAAAACTTGTAGAAAGCGATTTCTGTTTTGTCACCGTTGGTGTTGAATGATCTTGTGGACTAGATCCAGATAAGCAACTGTTATTTGGTTGTGTTTTGTTAGAAGACACTTCCTTCTCCAATGTTAAAGTGCTTCTTGGCCTTGCTGATTGTAAATCATTAACAAAAGTAGGACCAATCTTACTTTTAAGTTTGGTTGATGTTTTTTGTGTGGTTGATTCCTTTGGGGAACTAGCAGAAAATGACTGTACATTCGTAATTTTATGGGCTGCGTGATCATGTTGACTAAAGCGAAAGCAAGAAGTGATCTTTTGTTGTCTTTTTTGTGGAGAAATTTCTACTTTCAAAGGTGATGATGCGCGCTTTCTTGCAGTCGGTACAAAGTCACCGAAAAAGCGAGGACTTGGTTTTTTTGTTGTTGTCGTAGTACATTTTTCTGCTGGAGCATGCTTTCGTTTTCTTTTGTTTGATACTACACTCCACGTATTATTATAATTGATGACCGGTAATAAAGGAGCAAAATGGTTAGGAGTAAACGTGTAAGACTGGTTTAGCCATCCTGACATGTTGGTCCACATAATAGTAATAAAACGGGCTGAACTAGGGGAAAGGCGTGGTTTGAAAGTACCATTCAGTAAAGCATACAGCCTGTGTTTTTTGTCAGGATAGATCATCTGAATAGTGCAATTTATAGCAGATGCCAATCCCATTATTTGTAGAACTCCCGAAAAAGCTCCGTTTTTCAATGTGATAATTATCTCTCTTTCCATCGATTCTTTAAATACGGCGGGTGACATGCGTCCAGGAGCACGATCGTTAAAAATGACTGCGTCGTAAATTGACCATTTTGTCATAGATGTAATATGATTGATCGCAGGATGATTAGAATAGAAATGTTGGTTTTTCAGTAGCTCTAGTGATGTAAGCAAACGCAGCTTAGTAGCCATTCCTTCATCACCACATATACCCCTACTGACGGCATTAAAAAGACAATTGCCATCAGCAGTTGTTGTTATTGGCTGAGTATTAGAACATCTAGCATTTTCTGGGAGAATAGAAAGAGAAGTACGGTCAATCATATGCTGCTTGGCATTTGCAAGTGACCAACGTCGGTCGTCTCAACGTGACTATCGCATCTTTTTTGGATGTCATTAGCTAATAGCTGTGCATTAAAAAATCCTTCATATTTCGATTTCTTCCACAAAACTTCCAAATTATATTTCGCTTCACCCTCTGTCATAAACATTGTGCGATCAGCTGTGATGCTAGAATCATAGAAGAATGAGATTCTAATTGCATTCCCCACGGAAATAATGCAGTTAGGTATATGCAGGGCTGCCCTGACCTTTTTGAGTGCCCTGGCCAAAATTTCCTTTTGGTGCCCCTTTCCCCCAAAAAGAGTAAAACAAGGTAATTTTATACCCCTTTATAATATTTGGGGGGGGGACTAAGTTGCCCTCCTCTCTGGGAAAGATATAGTTTAAAGATGATGTCAAGTCCGTTCTGCGCATCGGTTCTGTTCATAACAAAGGGAGACCCGCAGAAATAAACAGTGCCCAAATTTCGCATCTTTCATTCTTTCGAACTTTTCTGACACAAAACTCTGGTTTATATTCTTTTACGAGCATAGCAAACCAGAACAGATAGTTATTCAGTTATAGCATTATATCAAATTTTACAACTAATATGGCAGTTCAAAATGTAAACAAAGAGTTGGTTTACATCACGGACTTTACACCATCTTAATGCTTGTTTATAGTAATATTGGAGTTTTCCGATCGTCTTGCATGTATCCTCCCAGAAAACAATGAAAAGAGAATTTTACGTGATGTGCAGAAGATCTAAATAACAGCGACCGGTTGTTCAAAGCTGGGTTAGCAATAACTCTGGGTTAAAATTTAACTCGTTGTTTTAGTTTGTGCACTACTTTTAAATGTCTGTTTCATTTAAAACTTTAGAATAGAAAACTACTATTGCTCCAGACGGATCTTCTGAAGAAATGTTTTCAAGAAGCTGTTGGAAAATTTGTTCTTAATTTCGAGTTAACCAAGGGTTAAACAAACCGGCTTTTGAACAACCGGTCGCAGAATAATTTTATATCCCGCCATTTTTATGTATTTTGGCGGGAAATTGAAATTTTCAAAATAAAACAAAAATACTATTTACTGGTAAAGGTAGTGTACAGAGCATATATTCATGTGGTAACTTTTAATATTTGAGTTTTTAATTGCCTTGCAGTACATATAAAATAAATCGATGGTAGGCAACCGTTGCTCAGCCGGTAAAATATCTAATGCCGGTAATATATCGAATTATTTATACATGTCTTGATGAAATTAATTTTTAATATTTTTGTACGTGCTATCGATGTCTTACCTCAAAGCCAAAGGATTTTCCTTTTCCAGCTCAATATTATTTTACTATGTTTCTCAGTTTAATTTATTGGGAAAAATAACCGAATATATGACTTTGAATATAAACAATGATGTAGTCAGTATCGTATACATGCACAGTAGCCAGCTATCAAAATTCTGATATACCACCTGCTATGTGGAAGTTTTCAGGCTGTGCAGGCTATACCTCGAATTCAATAATCTAAACAAACATAACTGCAACATTTCATTTCAAAGAATTTATACATGTAAAAAATGGAGGCTTTTTTGGTACGATTTGCTTCACGTGGTAGGTATATCGCATACCTCGAAACCCATCTTGATGCTAAGCTAGATGATATCAGAAAACGACTACAAAACGAGTGTTCAGATCTGTTACCAGTCCATTTTTCCTTTCTTTTCAAAAATATTAAAATATCTGTGATACAAGAGTCCAAGTTATCCGTACGACAGTGTGCAGAATTAAAAATTTTAAAATCAAAGGTCGTTTATAACATGTCACTGCTTTTGGAGGATACTGTGGACAGTAACGATGCAAACCAGAAGTCGACGGCTCTTCATACGGAAATAAATTTATCGGTACCTGACGAAACAAAATTACAGTCAGCACGTCTTTCTCGATGCAGACAGTCGGACACTGAAAATATTTCAGATGTACAAGACTTGGGGCCTGCTGCCAGTGCTGGCCAGACTGGAAATAGTAATCGAAAGAACAAAATCGATACCTATTCAAGAAATGATATTGAAACACAAAACTCATGGATGGAGAAAGAAATGATGATATTTTGGAACACAAAAGCTGAGTCACTTCAAGTATCTAGTGAAACAGTGCATTTTAAGAAACAAGAACTCATCGGTGTCCTTGAAGTTTCTTGGGCGTTTCAAAAGGCGGATTTGTTAAAAATAAGAATCGCTAAAGTTAAAATTCGACAAGAACGTTGTATGAGTGTATTCAATGAAAAATATGACAAATTTGAAAACCATGTTGATGTATTATACATATCCATGCAGATCGACAAACACGAGGAGGAAGTCTCTAAATTACTACATGAAATCCATGTGAAACACGAAAGAATTTTAGACTTACGTCAATCAAATATTAGTAAAGACTCGAAAGAAATAACTGACACAGAAAATGAAATCCACATTCTATTACACCAACTAAAGTGTACTACTGATTATCTGTACAAGGCGTTATGTGTTCAGGAGAATCGTTTGGACAACTTCGAGGAAAGATATATAAATTGTGTTGACACTGAAAATCCGCCTCTTTTGAACACACAGGAAATGGAGGAATTAGCTTTAAATATATTGCATACAGAGCACGAAATGGCATAATAAATGTTCAAGCATTACTTCATGTTCAACATCAGTCGAGCGCTTTCAAATATATGGATAGTTCAATTATATTTGTAGTTTTAAGAATTGGGACGATGTCATGCATGACATTTGATATTAGACTTTGCCTTTGTTGTCTAGATTGACTAGATTAGTAGATATTTATTTCTTTTGTTATATCATTTACTGTAACCAATACCACAAAATAGAAATAGAGCCAATACTATTATAAGCCAAGCCACCAGAAAAAGGAATAATAAACGTCGAAATCATATCAGCCCTTAGATAAAGACGCCATATTTACCCAACGGCTATGCTTGCCGGGATTATATAAACACGCTCTTAGTATAAACGAGCTTCCCGGTCGGTCAGGAGGAAGCAGGACGAAGGCAATCCGACATTACTTTTCGGCTATTTGGCTTAAGTTTTCACTCTTACAAATTAATTACAATAACAACCCAATTATCCCTCATATGGTTATAAACTATTCACTGAACTATATATTGTGGAACAATTGATCTGTAATTGCGGTGCGCGTGCCATTTTTCGGCACCGCATTTAATATATTCTGCCTGTGAGTTTGTCCGTTAAGGTTTGTTAGTTTGTTCGCGTCAGTACGTTCCTGTCTTTCCTTAATCGCCTACTAAAAATTTCTTGTACGTCTAGGAATTTATTATGATCGACTGTTTGCTAGGTTTTATCTCTGGTTTTATGCGTCAGACAAGGACAAAAATACCACTGTTCGAATCAGCGTGAAAAGTTGTATTTACGGATGGAAAATTGTTTTCAAAATCGACTTCTATTCTAGCGATTTATGACCTTTTAAAGACAAGCCGCTCTGAAATAATCCTTCACGTTTTCCGAATTCCTTTTTTCCTTGAGGAAAGTTTTCTTTTCTATTTTAATCACGATAGACTTTTTGCTGCGCCTTATCTCTGGTTTTATGCGCCCAATAAGGACAAAAATACCACCGTTCGATTCAGCGTAAGACATTGTACTTATGAATGTCAAATGTATTCCAGGTGATCTCGTGTTCGTATTTTAGCCAATCAGCGCTCAGAAAGGGTTGTCCGAATAGAAATCCATTTTGATGTATTCAGTCAATTATATCTTTCGTTATTCTTTATGAAACTAGTTGAAATTTTGTAATTATGTTTAGTTATGAGAACTATAGCTCTGACAAAAATATGGAATCGAAATAAAGTATATTACAGGAGATATTCAGTTGTTTTAATCATAAAATGGATTTCTATTTGACAGCTAGTGCCAGTACTTTTCCGCGTATCAAGATCATCTGGTTACTAAACAACAGAATTCTAGCGATTTATGGCTATTGAAAGTCAAGCGAGATTGCATTGTCGACAAATGCTCAAAATTATTAAACTAGTTAAAAATGCAGTACGTTCGATTCTTGATAACTTTCGTATCGTTGGTTTTCTCGTTTTCGGCCGTATGCCAGTGGATTCGTCTCACTTTTCTCTTCATTTTGATAGTATTTTGAGCCCAAAATATTTTATTTTGAAGGCTTTAAAACGCAGTTTCGACCCTAACGTACGGACCAACTGGCGGCCGACAGGAGAATGTAGCGTGCTAAATATAACTTCACTTGTCCATGTAGGCGGAAACGCCGAAAGTTTTATTTGTAGGCGGGCACCGCATTTTAGTACTGTGTCTGGTTGAGTAGTTATTCTTTGCGCTATTGGCTATTGCTGTGTGGACAAAAATTCACATCAGTAGAAAAGGAGAAGTCAGTATAGCGAACGTCTAGCGACCGTAACGACTGGGAGAAACAGAAAACAACAATGTCGCTGGGATAGAATGGGATAGAACAAAGCCCATCTCAACGACACTGTTATTACTAAAATCACTAAACTGGCCACATCCCGCTAAGATTTTCAAACAGGGAAAGACGTTTGATAAACGGGGAAAGACGTTTGATAATTCCAAATTCAATTTTCGTTCAGTCATGTGAGCAAAATGATGAAGTCATGTGATCAAATTGTTTCATCATTTTGGTCACATGACTTCACGATTTTGTTATCAATTTATTTTTGTACATGGGTTTCTAATTTTATTATCCAATCAGGTGCGTAGTTTTGAATTAAACGTCAGAAATTCGTTGCTCAACAGTCAAGTTATTCAAACGTAAACAAGGTCACAAACATCCAAACGAAGGTCAATGCAACAGAATATATGAAATATTCGTATTATGTTCATGTTAAAGTTCCATAATCGTAATAAACAATCTATCTAGTATCTATCTTATAATATGATCTGCATTTTAGCGAAAATATGATCTCCATCTTGTAATATACTGAGTTGTTTCGAAGTTGACTGGGAGTAATGATTATAAATAGCACTGTCAAATCGTGAAGTCATGTGACCAAAATGATGAAACAATTTGATCACATGACTTCATCATTTTGGTCACATGACTGAACGAAAATTGAATTGGAATTATCAAACGTCTTTCCCCGTTTATCAAACGTCTTTCCCCGTTTGAAATTCTTAGCGGGATGTGGCCAGTTTAGTGATTTTAGTAATATTTTTGGTCGTTTATGGTTGCTAGGCGTTCGCTCAGAAACGAGCGACAGCTAACGACTTTATAGAAACTAGGCTTAAATCGATCAGTGAACGATGCATAGTGTAAACTTTTCGGGTTTTTAACTTATTATATCCAAACTGAACTTTAAATGAACTTCTGTATAATCTTGGGTCGTCTGCATTTTTTACTATTTTTCCGCGCTTAGCGGGTTAAGGGGTCGATTACATGAAGAGCTAGCCTGCATGGCAGGCGGTACGTAGGAAATACCGCCTGCCGCAAAACTGGGTGTAAATGAACTACCGCCCCTGCCTCGTCCCTCGTCGCTTCAGTTGGGAATAGAGATCAGTGGAAAAACAATGGGAGCGCGGTCCTCAAATTACGCGACCGCGCATACAAATGAGGGACTGTGGAAGAGTCAGCTACCGCCCCTGAAGCATCAACGCTATTTATAGATGCATTAATTAAGTAAATATTCAAAATTAGCCACTCCCAAGCTGCTCCCAAGTCCCAACTGCCAAACATAAAATAAATTCCTTGATTCTCATCACCGCCCGACTGAATTTTAAAATCCTCGTGAACGGCGTTTTATTTTTCGTTATACAATATAAATGTACCGCCCGACAAAATAATTCAAGACAGTTAATTTTTTCATATTTTATATAGAGTTTTTATTGCCATTTTAAACTTCCAATTTGAAACAAACAAAATTTTGAGTGAAATTTCATTGTATTTTAAAGAAACTCAGTCATTCTGTCATTGTTCGTGGAGATACGAACTATTGATATATAAATTATATAAATATAAAATATAAAAAATAAATCTCCCACTGTCTTCGACATTTCAAAGTGTAGACTGTGTCTAGTGATGAGAATCAGAAAATTTATTTTATGTGTTAATATAAACCAAGCCCGTTTAGCCGTTTAGCTGCCTTAAAACGGTGGTTTAATAAGCTCAAAATACAAAGCATGCAAGTCTATACTATAGATAATAGATTCATCATCAGTCAACAACCAAACTGAAAGTATTGAACCTTATAGAACGATAGTTTTTATTTGTTTACAACTATACATATTCAACGGGTATATAAGAGTTTAACTGTTATTTGATAATTACTGCATCAACCGGCCCCTTGTTTATACTTTGGAGGTTCGTATATAATATCTATCAAGTATCTTTGGTTCAGAACATGATAGGCCTATATGAAAATCCCACTGTTCGATTCAGTGAAGAAATATCTCCTAATTTCTATCGATAGTTTTAGTAAAATGTCAACATTATTGCGATTTATGGCCTTTGAAAGTCAAGCGAGATCGTATATTATCAAATTAATACGCATGTGATTGTCTGAACGAAAATATAGACTAGCCCATACCTTTCGCCGATCATAACTTCGGCCCCTTCGGACGTATCTTCTTTGTTAAATATTCTTGTTCGAATCTCTATCAAAAACACTATTTAGAGTGTTATTTTTCAGCTTGTATCTTTTAACTTGCTTCTTTTATTATGTTATTCCATTTCTGGTCTGACTTGACGTGAACTAATTTCAAAACGCAGAGTTTCAAAACGTCAAAACATTTGGTTAATGATTAACATTTAACCGAATTTAGCCGTTGATTGACAACTACATAAAAATACTAACCAATCCGTTTTTCCCGTTCACCAGCGGACGGGTAATTCAAAAACCCCTAGTTTTGCGGCAGACGGTATTTCCTTTGCCTCCCTAATTTTCGCTGCCTGTAGAAATACCGCCTGCCGCGCAGGCTACCTTTGGAATACTAGCCTAATGCTCTGCCAACTGAGCTACGCGGTCAGGTCGGTTCGAGCTCTATAAACTGTGGTTCGAGTGTGTGATATTTCGGAACTGAGTCTAGACCCTTCGATGTCAATGTAATCTAGTAATATGATTTTTTCTGTGTTGGTGTTGTGTACTCAGGTGAATATGATGTTTGTGATGTTACTCTGAGTGTATATCCACACTGGGCAGGCTTGAAAAATATGCCTGGCCACGGTGGGAATCGAACCTACGACCTTTGGAATACTAGCCCAATGCTCGTGGCCAGGCATATTTTTCAAGCTTGCCAAGTGTGGATATACACTCAGAGTAACATCACAAACATCATGTCTGTAGTGTATATTCGCTCTGCTAGCAGCCGGAGCATGCAGGTTTGGGACCACATAGCTTGCGATTTGCGACCGACAATATCGTATTTTACAACATTTCGCAACCAAACTTTGCAGTTTTACTAATTTTAGGACACTCTTTTGAGCTATAATGATAGATTTCGTCTTTCTTGTTTAGATAAAAAATTAGTCGATAGCTTGAATCATTCATTTTGCCAATAGGAAAGATAACTTGGGCCTTAACGACTTGATATTTGATCAATAAAATTTGGCCCAGGGATTTGAAAGACATTGTTCTAGCCAAAGTTTTGATCTTATTTATCAAACTCTTTGTAGAACTGATTATGCGTAAACGTCCACTCAGTGTCACCCTAGCGGTCACCAAGGGTAAAGTCCCACAATTACTAGCGGAAAAAGACACTACGAAGAAAACTCCGCGTGATAAAAGAAATCTCTACCTCGCCAAGGAAGGCGTGATTATGCCGGGAACCGAAGCTGCTGCTGGATTGTCGAAAAGTGATCTTCAAAAACGACAGAAGGCGGAAGAAGAGAAGAAAGTGAAACTTAAAATGCCACACTTCATTGTATCCAAAACAAGGTGAGGTCAGAGGCGTAGCCACGGGGAGGAGGGAGGGGGTCCGGACCGCCCACTTTTCTTTAGGACAAATTTTGAGATTCAAAACTGAGGAGAAAATCTCTACAGAGTACACGCGTAAAAATCTCACATCTTGTAGCAATTCTGTCAACAAGCCGTCAACAGGCTGTGTTCGTACTGCTTGTCACAAGTTGTCAACAAGTTTGGAAGAAGCTGTTAACAATTTGTAACAACTTTGTTGATATTATCAGGCTTGTTACAAGGTTGTTCCAACAAGTGCGATACAGTCATGATATAGCAGTATTGTTACAACCTTGTGTCGTCATCCTTGTAACATTCTTGTTATATCATAACTGTATATCAGACTTGTTAGAACAACCTTGTGACAAATCTGATGCCATTAAGCTTACAACAACTGGGAACAAGCAGTGCGAAGACAACTTGTTGCCAGCTTGTGAACAGATTTGTAACAACTTGTGCGTTTTTACGTGTGTAGCTATTTGGGGCTGGCTACACCCCTGGGTGAGGTTTAATTGTTTTGCCACTGGACTAAACTTACCCCATATTCATTCCGTTTCAGGCTATGTTTCCGTAACCTTCCGTTGCACATCGACGACAAAAAGCTCTCCGAGGTGCTACGAACCGTGTGCGATGGTAAACCGAAGACTGTCGGAAAAGTAAGAATCATGCGAAACATGGAAAGAGTGGATAGCTCAGGGCTCGGTAGATCAAAAGGGTTTGGATTTGCCGAATTCAAGGGCCACGACGACGCATTGGACGTACTGCGAGCAACGAATAACAATCCCGCGATTTTTGGTGCGGACCGAAGACCCATTGTTGAATTTGCTATCGAAAACAGTTTGATATTACAACGCTTAGAACAGCGAAAAACTAAAAACTTGCAAAAAGTTCAGCCCAGGGAATCGAATAGCGAGATGAAGACCGAGAAAAACAAAAGGAAACGCGAAAGGAGTGAAAATAGGAAACGAAAACGTGTTAGGAAAGATGAGAATGCAAATGAAAGTGTTGATAAATCTGTGAAAACGACAGAAACTGTTAGTTCTAATGTGGATTCAAGTAACAAATTAGAGAAAAATTGGTATGTTTCTAAATTTAACGGTTTAAAGAAAAAACAGGGCAGAAACATGGTAAAGCAGAAAGGAGTAGCGAGTAAAAGTCAAGATTTCGACCCAAACACGAAAAACAGTGACAAATTAAATTCGAGATCAAAGCACAAGGGAAAGGCTGATTGGGAAGAGGAGAAATTTAATCAAATCGTGGAGAAATACAAGACAAAACTATTTGGGGAAAATACTAAACAGCTAAAGGCGTCTCGATGGTTTGACGCCTAATATCTAATGGTATTTTAGAGTTTAAACACATATTGTCGAGCATATTGTAATGAATCTTTGAAATAAAAGCACTAGTAAAGCGTGCAGTCCGGTATCAGATCTGTTCAGAAACTCAGAAGGGTGTTAATACTTGCGCATCATACTCGCTGGGGCTGGCACGGTTAACCAGGATGATTTTTTTAACAAAAGCTCTTATCACGGCTCTGATGAACATCCAAAATGACATTTCAAAGTTGAATTCCAGTAACAACAGTATCAAGTTCCTTGTGTGATGTTACTCTGAGTGTATACTATAGAAATAATAGATATCTATTATTTCTATGGTATATCCACACCGGACAGGCTTACCTGCGACCTTTGGAATACTAGCCCAATGCCCTGCCATCTGAGCTACGCGGTCAGGTCGGTTCGAGTACGCGATATTTCGGAACTGAGTCTAGTTCCTTCGATATCAGTGTAATCTAATAATCATGATATTTGAACTAGAATGAACTAGACTCAGTTCCGAAATATATGCATACTCGAACCGACCGGACCGCGTAGCTCAGATGGCAGAGCATTGGGCTAGTATTCCAAAGGTCGTAGGTTCGATTCAAGTAACATCACACAAGCATCTTATTCACCTGAGTACATTACACCGACACGGCAAATATCAGTATCAAGTTCATTCAATTTCAAACGATCTTTAATGATCAGGAAAAAAAATTTGTGACACGATTCATTCCAGGTAGTCGAGGTGTCCCGGCTTACTAGTAATGAACAGCCTCCTGAGTCCTGGGTTACAAATTACAGGGAAAACACTAAGCCAAAGAAATGTCATGATTATGATCTGTTCAGTTTACTGTAACATTGCTACTGTACTTTGGGTGTTGTTCGGGCCCGGGAACATTTAATTGCGATCTTGCATTAATTACGCATGGACTCGCATGGTATTCAAAGTATATAGATCAGACAATGGTATTCAGTAAATTTTGTAAAATAAATCTTTAAAATCTCACAATTGAAGACACATCGTTTATAAGTGACAACAATAGTCAGGTTAAAAAAATGAATCTTACTGTATACACTATCGTAATGTTTCTGTTAAGATAGAAAAATTGTAATTATGAATCTTTCCAATCCCAAAATAGACCTGAAAGTTGTAGAAGCATACTATATGTATTTGAACAACACACTATAAATCTATGATAGTTATCGAATGATACACTATATATAAATCTATGATAGTTACTTTAATACTGACATATATTCACTATACTCTCATCAATTTTAGTGCGACTAGCTGACACATTAAATATACTTGAGCAATGTGGAACCACTTTTAAATTTTACAGTAGATCTGTACATGACCCCCCCCCCCCCCCCACCCCAAAAAATTGTCTGATTTTCATTCCATTGAATGCCAGTGCTCTGCCCTTTAGTAAAGTCGTCTGGCAGTAGACTGAGTAAAGGCGGATTTCCAGTCCTCGCATGAAGCTCCTTGCAGAGTGCATGCATGAGCACTTTCATCCAATCACAATGCTAAACAGTTAATTTTAATTAGATGCAAGCACTCGCAGCGAGGAGCTTCGTGCAAGGACTGGAAATCCGCCTTAATGCAACTTAATGATTAATATTTTGCCAGTTGTTTTTCATAGCCCAATCGTTCAAGTTGTTCATATGTAACTTAATCCATATATGCACAGAAAGTGGTCCTACAGAAAGTTAAGTAGTCCTAGTAGTCCTCTAGTAGTCCTACAGAAAGTTAAGTTAAATTTGCATAATTATACTTCCAAATTTAAAAAATGCTGATAGATTGCCACGACTGCCTGCTTGCTTGTGAATTGTTTAATTATTAAACACAAAAAAATTGACATTCTGCATGTAATTGTTAACATTATAACTCTACGCTTTGGCTATTTATTTCCAGTCATCTTCACAAAAATGCACCATTCTTATAAAGCCAACTATAACTAAAAAGATGTTGAAGATGACTACAAATAAATAGTTGCAAAATGCAGAGAAAATGTTAAAAATTGTATATTGTTGTCTATTGTTTTGTGTTTATTAAAATTACTCTACAGTAGCTATGGCAACCATAATTTTTGGTCTACTTTAATTAAAAACTACATATGAGTGCTAAACAATGTCTCAGTGCTATATGTTTGTGCCTAAATTTTTATATCAAAGTTAATTTTTCTCGCTACCAAAAGCTCGTAGATGATAAATAAAATACTCCAGCTGATACATCATATTAGGGTTAATATAATGAAAAGTTATCGAATAGTCCGAACAACATTCAGGACCATCTTTATACGAATGGAAATTATAACTCCAGAGCCAGAAATCCTTGTTCAGGTAGCCCGGTATCAGATGATGTTCGGGCGGGAGGGGGTGGAACATCTCCCGCCCTCTTTCGTCTAGGGTGTTCTCCGCTAGGACGCCCATCTTCGCTAAGCATCGTCCGACTTCTACATCTTCAGCAAAACTAGCCTCTGGACAACGGGATTTGTCTTCGATTACCTCGCCGAACCGACGAACTGTTTCTCGGCTAAATACATAACCAGCTCCACCACTGTTATACGAACCAAATGGTTTAAACTTTCGACCAAAATAGTACGGCTTCTCCGAGTCATAATGTGACACAAAATGACGTAAATTCTCCACAACCGTGAAGGTGTCGTCGTCCGCCTTTAGGAACCAATCCGCGCGATAGAGATAGTGCTTTTGAACATACTTCCACGCCGCTTTTGTTTTTAACCATAAATTCTCTCGTCCTTCCGGTACTTTAAGTGCGACCGAGGGTAAGCTGTCATCAGTCTCCGAGCTCATAAATAGCAGGATATTACACCTCTTGCCCCAAGTTTCTTTGATAGGCTTACATTTAGTTTTATGATTCTTGGGATTGGTCATGACCCAACACAGAACTTTAGTATCAGTATACTCTTGTTGTGCTGCTTTATAATTCGAGCTATGATGATGATGCGTGTCGTTAGCATCCACGTTAAAGGATACGGCTTTCTCGACCACAACCTGACGGTTATTCGGAAGCACCCATTGGGCAGGTCTACTCACTTGGTTGTACATGTACATTAGAAAAATTCCAACGAAAACTCCAACGGACATTGATAAAATCGACTGCCGCATTTTGACACATACCTTACAAAGAAAGCTCTTTTTCTATTTATGTCTAATAACCCTTGTGTTTGTCTTTGTTATTACAAACGTGAACAATATGAACAAACGTGCTTTGAAGTGCTTTCAAGAAATATTTTAATACCATACCTGTTCTTTTTGTGTTTCCACAATAATAAAATTTCCTTTTACCTTAATATCGCCTGAATTTTAGCAATTCAGCTGCCAAATATATTAATTGGAAATACAAATATAATTTTTTTTGCTTTAATTTAGGGTATATTTTTGCAGTGAAATCGACTCAAATTCTACAGCTTCGAAATTGTTTCAGTTTTTGCAGTTTTCTGTGATTTTTTTTCTCAAACTTTTATTCATTTCCGAACTACCCTAAAATTTCCCTTCCATATTTCTTTTATAACCGCGAGCTTTCGATTTTACAGTAATTCCGGAGAATTCTGAATGATGGAATTTATTGAGTTCAATCATGGCGGATCAAATTGAAAATGAGAAGAAAAAGCTTATTTCGTCTTTGATGAGAAAGATTCCTGACTTTCCCAAACCTGGAATACTATTTTGGTAAGATATTCTTTGCACTGCGCTTTGTATTACTGTAATGTTGTATTTGTATAAATTTCATTGCACTTCCACGCCATGTCAGATTGGGCTATTCCATTTAATATCCGTACACCCCCTGTCGAGGATACATGTTTTTCATGGTTATACCCCTGAAGAATTCCAAGCTCAAAACCTTTTACCCCTGAAGAATTCCAAAATTCCAAGCTCAAAACCCTTTACCCCTGAAGAATTCCAAGCTCAAAACCTTTTACCCCTGAAGAATTCCAAAATTCCAAGCTCAAAACCCTTTACCCCTGAAGAATTCCAAGCTCAAAACCTTTTAACCCTGAAGAATTCCAAGCTCAAAACCCTTTACCCCTGAAGAATTACAAGGTCAAAACCCTTTATCCCTGAAGAATTCCAAACTCAAAACCTTTTACCCCTGCAGAATTCCAAGCTCAAAACCCTTTACCCCTGAAGAATTCCAAGCTCTGAAAAATTTCAATCTCAAACCTCTTTACCCCTGAAGAATTCCAAGCTCAAAACCCTTTACCCCTGAAGAATTCCAAACTCAAAACACTTTACCCCTGAAGAATTCCAAGCTCAAAATCCTTTACCCCTGAAGAATTCCAAGCTCAAAACCTTTTACCCCTGAAGAATTCCAGGCTCCTCGACAGGGGGGGTACGGATATTAAATGGAATAGCCCATTGCATGCCAGCTTTAAAATTACATTGCGAAATGTCGTACGAGTTAAATATTTGCACGATATTAACTCATGGGGCACTTCTGACCAATGGGAATTTTGCGTACGGAGCGTACGCATAAATCGACTTTTTACTAATAAAGGTCGCAGGCCGTTCCTCCCATGCAGCCTCAATCTCGTTCCCCGAGCATGCCCGTTCGCAGGTTAAGGGTGGGCATAGCTCTGGAGAAATCGAATTGATTCACGTTGAATTTCCAACGTGAGTTCTACGCATGCTCGGCAATGTTGCAAAATATAAATAAAGTATTTAGAATTTCGCGTCGAAAATTTGATACATTTTACACCGAAATCGAATTGCAAACAACTAAAAATTCTGGGGGAAGTATGTACGAAAGCTTCGGTTGGATAGGGATACAGCTACCTGAAAAATACAAGGAGAACTTCGACGTTTCGAGCGAAGGCGCTTCGAACTGTGCTGTTTAGTGTTTGTATACATCGTACTTGACCTTTGCTGATAAATATAATCTCCTCAATAATAAGTATTATATATTTTGATGCTTTAAAATTTACATTTAACTCTTCTGTCAGAATTTATGGTATACGTAGTAAAGGTCAAGTACGATGTATACAAACACTAACAGTACAAGTCGAAGCGCCTTCGCTCGAAACGTCGAAGTTCTCCTTGTATTTTTCAGGTAGTTGTATCCCTATCAATCCGCAGCTTTCGCACATATTTCCTCCAGAATTTCTAGTTGTTTTCAATCGATTTCGGTGTAAAAAGTATCAAATTTTCGACGAGAAATTCCAAATACTTTGTTTATATAGAACTCACGTTGGAAATCCAACGTACTATCTGCCGTTAGCCAATCACAGGCCTGAATCAATTCGATTTCTCCAGAGCTATGCCCACCCTTAACCTGCGAACGGGCATGCTCGGGGAACGAGATTGATGCAGCCTCTGCCTGACAACGGCCTGCGAGCAGGCTAATTTTCTGGCCAATAAACGCGCTGTATTGGCTGAAGGCCCCGTCTTCCGGCCAGTCAACTGCATGTTTTTGCATAGAAAAATGATGACACGTTGCACCGCTGAGTGGCCCTTCTGGTACTGATCTTTATTCTGTGGTCGAGGGTCGAATGTCGAGGGTCAAAAGTCGAAAGCCCAGGGTCGAAAGTCGAGAGTCTTTCGTCAAGGGTTGAAAATGGAGAAAAAATTCTCTCATTAATATTTACATTTCTAGAATACTACATTCTTCGCATCTGTTGCCAAATTTTAAAGGTTTTCTTGATAACCTCGGGGATATGTGTTTATTCACATATCCCCTCGTTGCCTCAAAATAACCTATTATTGGAAAATTGGGCGGTAAATTCGAAACGAAGTTCGTTACGATATTTCCTCGATATTTGCCATTTTTTTTTATATTGATACCGATATTTTCCCAACTCGAGCAACCATAACAATATAAACATTGAATAATATATGTCAGTGATTGCAACGTACCAACATAACCAGAAACTCCGATCCTGCCCTTGGGCCATTAATATAGCACCATGGAAATTTTTATATTTAGGCTTATTGGCAACAAAACCATATTCGCCTATTTAGGCTTTTTAGTAACAAAACGTCCCCAAAATTTTTCCAAATACTAGTTTGAGATAAAGAAAGAAATCAATCGTTCTTTAAAATATGCTTGCGTACTTTAATTATAAAGTTACCTTATATTTTACATTACCAGAATATCAGTATTAAAGTATTTTTCACCTTTTTACCGCACTTTTATATACGATCAACTAAAAAGTTACTGAAATTACGACCGATGTTGTTTAAGAAGGGACTTTCCCAAGGAATTTTCGAATTTTCTTGAAATACATAGTGTATCAAAAACAAAACTGAACAGATTTGAAATTCCTCTCAATTTCGCAAAACAGCTATTAGTATCCAGTTTTATATATATATAGTTTCTTTGGGTACTTATGTAGAATAATGAAAAAAATTTCTCGAACTCAAATTTT